CCAGTGCCGGGGGTCGGGGCGCCGCCCCTCCCCGCCCGCCTCCGCCCTTCCCCGATGCCCTCGGCCAATTCGGAGCGACCCCGGAGCGCAGTGTAAACGCCGCCCCGTCGACGGCGGGCGCCTAGCGGGAAGGATGCCGGAGACCGGGCAGGACGCCCCCAGCAGCCAGGCGCAGCCGCCCCCGCCGCCGCCGCCCGCCAAGGAGTCCCCTTTCTCCATCAAGAACTTGCTCAATGGGGACCATCCCAAGGCGCCCCCCAAGCAGCCCCGCGCGCTCTTCCCGCCCGTGGCCAAGGGGGCTCTGGAGGGGGCCGGCAGCGCCCTCTCGCAGATGGGAGACCTCGCCTTCCCGCGCTTCGAGATCCCGGCGCAGAGGTTCGCCCTGCCGGCCCACTACCTGGAGAGGTCTCCTGCCTGGTGGTACCCCTACAGCCTGACCCCCGCCGGAGGCCACCTGCCTAGGCCGGAAGGTACTGGGGAGAGACCCCTCACCCCTCCCCTCGCCCGCCAGCCACCCTCTTCCCCAGCCCCAAAAGTCGGGGGGGTGTTGATGGTGGGCGCCTAGCAGGAAGGATGCTGGAGACCGGGTAGGACGCCCCCAGCTGCCCCTCCCCTCGCCTGCCAGCCACCCTCTTCCCCAGCCCAGAAAGTCAGAGGCAAGCACAGGGGGGGGGAGGGAGGAAGAGGGCTCTCGCCGGGGATCTCAGGCTCCATCTCCAGGCTGCGACCTCCTCCCTAGCCCCCTTCTTCCACCTGCTCCCCTGGGTGTTCTCTGCAGTCAGGAATCCCTGGAAAAGTTCCTTCCCCAGCCCAATAAAGTCAGCCAAAGGGGTGAGGTGGGTCTGCGGGGAACAACCGGGCGGGGGGATCTGCCCAGGATAACCTGCAGGGGGGGGGGAGTCTCCATCATTTTGGCTGTGTAGGCTCCCCCAAGAAGGATGGCAGAGCCTGGATAGGAGAACCGCGGCCACCTAGTCACCCAATGCTTCAAACTCTTGACAGCCAGGGAAGTCTCCTCTCCAAGCCTGTCCACCTCCCCCGCCCCATCTAATAGTCTCTCCCCTTTCAAACTTTGTGACTTCATTGCCATCTCTGAGAACTTTCCCCCCAAGGGATTTATTAGGGTCATCACTCACACTCCCTCTCAGCTGTGGAGTCCGGTGAGCAAAAATTCTACTTTGCGAGCTACTGGCATTAAAGTTGTGAGCGAGCGATTTGGCGGCTGCATAAATTAGTTTGCTCTGGAGCCCTCCTTCCTGAGAGAAGACAAAAATCTGTGAGCCAGAGGCTAAAAAACGGTGAGCTAGCTCACACTAACTCAGCTTAGAGGAAACACTGGTTACCTCCCCCCGCCCCCCAAAAATGGTTTACGGTGCTGTCCAAAAGTACTTTCTTATTAGTTGGATCCTGCTCCAGTTCTAATGGTATTTACTTGGAAGTGTCCCATGGAAATCTTACGAACTTAGTTCCGAGAAAGTGAGGGAAATGTGGCCAGACGGGGAATCGGTGGAGATTTTTTTTTTAGGAGGCGCAGTCAGGGTTTCAGGTTGTCCAAGGGGAAGGGGGAACCTGTGGGGAGTTCCGGGGTTGTTTTTTTAAGTCGAATGTGACGTTCCTAAGAAAGCGCATTTAGGATCGCAGCAGGGTCCAGTGGGACTTCTGTATCCCCCAAATGCGCTCGTTTGAAAGTAAGTTCCGTGGGAACAAAACGGGACTGGCTTTGAGAAATAAGTACGGTCAGAATCTGGACGCGTGAGACAGAAGGCAGGAAGTGTGCACAAGCCTGCGAGCGCTCACCTAAGCGTACCAGTCTCTGGCATCGACGCCATGTACCTCCTTCCAAGGAGATGCATTTGGCAAAACTTTGCTCCTGGGAAGGCGGCGGCGGCGGCGGCAGTCGTGGGCACACTGACTCGGGAGCAAAGGCCCCGAAGCCTCCGCGGGGAGGGGACTCGCTCCCCGCTCAGCATGCCTAGGCTAGGTTTTCTCGTAAGGAGAGGAGACCCCCGGGCCCGAGAGCTGGGCCCTTGCGAGGCTGGCCGGTTGTCTGTTGTTGGGCCGGGCTCCTGACTCTGCTGTGTTGTGTGTGTGTGTCTCTCTGTGGCTTGCTCTCCTCCAGCTTCCCTGGAGAAATCCCTCCTGAGAGACTCGTCGCCGGCCTCGGCGGGGACGGACCGGGACTCCCCCGATGAGCCGCTGCTGAAGGCCGAGCGGGAAGCCAAGGAGCTGGACTCCAAGAGCCCGGACGAGATCATCCTGGAGGAGAGCGACGCGGAGGAGGCCAAGAAGGAGGAGAGCGGCGCCGAGGACTGGCCCAAGCGGGAGGCCGACGAGGCCGGCGCCGAGAAGAAGCCCTGCCGCAAGAAGAAGACGCGCACCGTCTTCTCCCGCTCGCAGGTCTTCCAGCTGGAGTCCACCTTCGACCTGAAGCGCTACCTGAGCAGCTCCGAGCGGGCCGGCCTGGCCGCCTCCCTCCACCTGACCGAGACGCAGGTCAAGATCTGGTTCCAGAACCGGCGCAACAAGTGGAAGCGGCAGCTGGCCGCCGAGCTGGAGGCCGCCAACCTGGCGCAGCACCCGGCCCAGCGGGTCGTTCGCGTGCCCATCCTCTACCACGAGAACTCGCCGGCCGGCGGCCTGCTCGGCTGCTTCCCCGCGCAGCCCCCGCCGCCGCCGCCGCCCGGCGGCGCGGGAGGGGGCGGCGGGGGCCCGGCGGGCGGCGGCGCGCCCGTCAGCCAGCCCCTGCTCACCTTCCCCCACCCGGTCTACTACTCGCACCCCGTGGTCACCTCGGTGCCGCTCCTGCGGCCCGTCTGAGCAGGAGGCCGCCCGGCTCAGCGGCAGAGTGGGGCAGCAGAGGGGGAGAGGGGCGGCAGCGGGAAGGGAGGACGAGGGGAGGAGGAGGAGGAAGGGGGGGGTTCCCGAAGAGTCCCTGGCCAGGGCAGCCGCCCTCGCCCGCCTCCCAGGCCAAGACAGGCCCCCGCCGCGGAGCTGGGGCGGGGGGGGGAGGGAGAGGCGCCCTCCCGGGCCAGACTTTGAGCCCTCCTTGCCCTTCGGGGGGACATCGAAGCGCTACCGAGAAAAGAATCGCCCTCCAGGCTACTTTGTCGTCGTGGGGTTTTTAACATGATTGTTCTTGTTACTCTGATTCTTTATGGCTGTTAGTATTTTTATAAAAGCGGGGAGACAAAGCATTGCGCCCAGGAGGGGTCTCGGTTTGAAAAGTTCACCCTCCTCCGGTGCCAAATGCTAGTCGGAACCGGAGCCGGTCGGCCCCTGGGAAACCTCCCCCGGCCTGAGCTGCTGGCTGGCCCCTGGGTCCGAAGACCTCCCTCCCGAAGGTCTGCTCGCGTGTCTCATCTCCGCCGCGGAGCTCAGCCCCTGGAGAGAGAGGCAGCCTTAGGCGTTTTTGAAAAAGCTTCACGGTGTACACTTTTTACCTTATTTATGGATGTTATTTTATTCTGGGTATGTGTGTTCTTTTTAACTGCAAAGTTAGGAGGGAGCTGTAACTTTATTCTCCCTCCCTCCGCCCTTTTTTCTTTTCTTTTCTCCCCCCCCCCCAAAAAAAAAGCTCCTTTGGTTTGTACCGCTGACCTGTGCAATACTGTACAATTCTGAAAGCCCTGTTTGGGCGGGCGGTGTCTGAACGGCGGGGAAAAA